TGTTTCAGAGCTGGGTTCTAATAAAAAAATGACCCCACATGGGTCCCCTACAAATTTGCCAAGTTTCATAATTTCTCCACAAAATGACTCAGCTGCTGGACTATTGCTGTGTCTAAGTTAATCGTTTCAAATGCATAATCCTGGCCTAGGAACCCGGACTTTGCAACACAAGTATATAAATCAACAGTAGTCCAGTCAGATGGGCACATTAAAAAAACGTTTTGACTATATGAACAGGAGTTAGTTGGGACAAAGGCTGCAAATGTGTTCTGTTTCAGTCTGTATACTGTCAGGCATGCTGATGATAAAACACCATCAGAATTATTGCTGAGGGTGTCAAAATGGCAGAAATTAACCCATGAGCGACAGACATCAGTAACTTACCTTGTGCACTTTTCCACATTGATGGTGGCCAACTCTGAAGACTTGGTTGTCATTTTCCTCTTGGTTTTCGTTGCATTGGGGGTGTATTTGCTGGTATGATGAGGGCTGTGCATGATTTTCCTGTACAGCCCCTTGTACAACAGACTTGGATGCCACGGTAGGCTGCTGCTGGTGGCCACAATCACCCTGAAACACAACCCCAAGGAAACGAATCACAATAATGGCTTCAGAAATGTTGCACTGTACAATTAAATTAAGCCAAGAAGCACATCTTTAAAACAGTCGGTTGACTCAGCAAGATGCCAGTAGCATAGGAAGAGGAATTTAAATTTCAACTTGAGGGTACTACAAGGGAAAATTCCATGCTTTGGCCTCAATATACGGAACTTGTGATTTACGCTTCATTGTGGATTCGTTGGTATCTGATATGGTTGTAAAATGCAAATCATTGTAAAACGCAAGTGTTGCATGGAAATCCGACTCCCATGAAATCTTGTCTCATGATCATTGTCATCATCTTCACCCCCAATCTGGTATTATTAACCTCTACATGTTTTTGAACTACACGAAAAAATTTGATTTGTCACTGAATGTTACCTTAATTTGATGGTGCTTTCTCTTTTTGCACTTTTTTTCAGGCGGTTGCTCACATCCTGTAATCAAACAAAATATCATTTAATAAAGTGTCACTAAAAGTACAAGGTACTGGTATTTAACGCTGACAGTGCTATTGGTGCTTACTTGAAAGACTTTATACAGAAGCCTGCTGAATTCAACTTTCTATTGTGAACATTTGCTGCTGATACTGTCAAAAGATAAAACTGTCATAAAAGGCGAGACACTGAATCAGCCAAAATTTAGGGTCATATCTGGACTAACAATAACTGATACATGAGTCTATTTTGAATGAACACTATGAAGTCTGGAATGCAATGTGAAATTATCCAAGAAATATCCGTTACCTGGTAGCACCACATCATACAGGTTTATATGGTCCCCATCATGCAGTTTGAGAGTCCTGTTGAACGGGTCAACAATAGCTATGGTGCCTTCTTTATCTTGCGTGTGAATCAGATCTCCAGCCTGGCAATGAGCCATAAACCGCAATTGTTGACTGGTACACTTCTGTTCTAAGTTTCTTCTCCCTGCCCGCGGCCTGCAACCCCCTACAACATAAAAACAATCAACAGTTTTTTGCCAGTTAGCAATGCTGGGGATGCCTCATTCCTAATTGTGAACATTATTTTCCCAATTCTCCATTGATTATAACCAAGTGCCCTTGAAGTTCCAGCAACCTAACCCACCAAATAATGTAATATTAGGAACAGCTCAGTGCTGTAAACTCTGTAGTCTTCAAATTTTTCTGAAGATCATAGGTATTTCAGGCCTGTGTGTCAAACGTTGATCTTCTGCCAATCTGGAATGCATACGTGTATCCACCATAGTTCATGATGGAAACAAATATGGAATCTGTATTGTGTGCACAAAATGCATACAACTACGCAATGCAGCACTCAGAATCATGAACAGGCATCATTTTTAGCATATATTTAAATAAAAAGTGGTTGTTCTTTCTCAAGCGATTTTTATTTAAACTAGGCCTATCTACAACTTGTACAATGTACATATTAAATAAGTGGACCAGTTCCTCGCTTAATAATCTGGTTTGAAAAAGTAACTACCGGTACATATAGTTTCATTTTATATTCTACATGTTGTCCAGAGGTACATTGTTCTGACGTTGACGCATACAGGAATAGTAGGCTAAACTTGTTGGCTTTAATTTGTGAAATGTTAAGATGAAATTCTGAAATGTGTCGGTGAGTTGAGCCCATTTCCGTTCGACTCTACCACTTCACCATAATGCCACTTTACACCATCGCCACTTGCCTGACAAATTCGCTAGGACAGAGTGAAATTTAACTGGAAATGATACAAACTTCATTTAATTTCGGAAAAAATATTTTCTTTCATTTACTTAAGGAAGGGCGGAGGGGGAGATGAACATTTGCTGCCTGGTCAATGGAGTTTTGCTATTTGTCATCTATCTAGGTCTAGTTTCACTGAAATAAAGAAATGTATGATTGCCAAAGTAATGCTTTCCCGAGATTAGTTTATAATCTGCTTTTGTCCAACAGGAATATGCCAAATTCAGATGAAAGGGGTGTGAGACTTGTCAGGATTTTCCAACATTCCTTTTTTTTTTTCATAGGTTGATTGCATAGATTAGGTGTATTTCAATTTTAAACATTGATAGCTTCTAAAAACGCTTTTAATTGTGTTTCGTCCCATTTGTCCATTGTAAAAACAATGGACAACTGATTACTCTTAGATTCTTAGATTACTAAGAAGTACTGTGTGCATGTGTTTCTCATTTACTTTTTAAATTGTACTGGCCTGTTAAAACAGCAAAACTGCTTTATTCCTGCTATAGAACTGCAAACCTTCCAAATTCATTCGGAAAAGAAAGTATAAATTTTGAACCTGCAGCAGTAGTTTCCCTTGGAGTTTCCCACCACTGAAAAGCATGACTAAAATGTACAATGACCACCTGCTCTTTGTATTGCTCCCTATGTACACAAAGACAGCACACTTCTAATGTACAGTGGTTGTTTACTGATAAGCGAATTAATGAGGTGATATTTCCAGGACCTTTATTGTTACTTTGATTGGACCTATTGTGGCATCCATAATCCCCTTTATTGTTCCTCCTACACTGAAAAGGTGCAGGTATTGATCAATCAATTGGGCATCACAATTCACAAGCGCATGTAGTATTCTAGTGGTCAATCAATGAGGCAGAAGAAAAAGCTTCTGGTTACATCATGTCTTTCAAAGATTGAAGACTGATTGGAGTTTTTGGCACTTTTCTCAATGAATGGGGTATTCAATATGAATGGGGTATTCATTGCACTTCGAAAGCGGAGCAAAAGTGGTCTCAACCCAACTCTCTAGGGTGCGTGTATAAAATCATATTAAAATTGGTGGATTTGGGAGTGTCACAGCTAATTTTTGTCAACATGTTTACGATCGATAATCCTTCAAAAATAAAAATGGTTGTCAACCAACTTTTTCATAGGTTTGTGAACCTCAAATGTAGCCTCACATGGTAGAAATAGTGACACAGAATACCACCAGCATACAAATCAAAATTAAAATTAGTGAAACTAGTTTTCATTACAAAATCCAAGGTGAATTTGTTGCCTTAGACAAAAAAAACAAAAAATGTTGGATTTTTGGCTAACAAATTGCCGACCTCAAATTTGTTAATAACATTTTTCTAGTTGATAATTGTACAGGAACACTACTTTTAATTATTTGTCACAAACACAATCAGTTTCCACAATTAAATGAGATTGCAATGGATAAATAACCAACAAAATAAAGTTATTTTTCGACCTACCTACCTGAAATTTTTACAAGCTGTTACCGGAAAGACACAATTTATTTTGTTTGGCCTTGGTGGGGGTTGCCATTTTGTTCGAGATTGAATCTGCATACATGCATGCATGGAGTGTACGGGGATTTATAACAGCTGGGCCAAAGTATTCAGTTCTACAGACCAACCCGGTCCCTAACCAAGTCAGTCCGTGACTAAGTCAGTCCGTGTCCGACTCGGTCCTATATGGGAAAAATTTTATGTACCGGTATGATGAAGGTTTACACTTAGGCCGTGGGATTGGGAATGCAAGTATTGGAATACCATTACGATAAATTGGAAATGGATGAGATTTTTTTTCATTATTTATTATCTTATAAAAAAAAGTGTGTATTTCATTTACAAGTATCTTTGAAAACAGGTTTTCCATGTGCACATGACAAAGCCAAAGACCATACGACAATAGTATTCAGAAGTTCAAACATACAGACTGGTGGATTTTACTGGTGGTGGTTTGTCCATAGAGAACATGCAATCATGGAGTTGTAGAGCGATGTACGTATGCACCGTGAATAGAACATGTCACTTGGGCTTTGGTAACACATGTGATGTATGGGTACTACACGTTAAGGCCAATTTTACAGTTTTGATGAAAATGGAGATAAATTGAGTTGGGAATCGCAATTTATACAAATAATGAGAATAGGTGCATAAGACAATTGAATACTTCGCCAATTTCCACTTCACCCCCACACCACAGTACCCCATTTTTCAGTGATGTCAAAATGAAACCTTGTCTTTCTTTTCTTTTGGGGGGGGGGCCATGTTCTTTATTTTGCAACTTTTTTCTCACTTTTTAATTTGGTTGACCATGTCACCATGTTTTGCCAGAACAAAATAATTTGCGTATTGGGGCGAATTGGCGAAGTGGTAAGGGGCGATGTGCTTAAGGGCGAAGTTGAAATGGGGCGAAATGACCGACACCCAGACAATTTGAATACTCGGTCCAAATTTTTTGTCAAACTGACAAAAAATCTATTGACAATCCTCAGTTGAAAATAACTGACATACCTATGGTACAATACGGTCAAACCATTGTAAATTAAACAAGATAGTGGCCCCACTAAGATGACAAAATCATCTTGGTTATCGTGTTGAAAAACCAGTTTCATTGATAATCTTAATTTTGCCTTTTGTGCTGAGGACTTTTTCAATATATCTATCATATGAGGCTACTTGAGGTCATAAACCTATAAAAATGTTGTTGATGCTAGGTTACGAAACTTGTTGACGCTGTTTACGCTTGTTGACACTTTCTTGGTTGGACTGCTTAAAATTCAGAAACAGTATTACCTGGTTTTACACAATATCATTGCTATGAATAGTGCCTGTTTATAGCCGATTCCATTCTCATTATTTGCTGAAGTAAAGGGATAATAGCAGTCTTCACACCCTTTCATACATGATGATGTATTTCCAGGTACATGTACATCATTTCTACCAGTCACACATGTTGTGTCACACAAGTCGCTTCTTCTTCGGGCCGTGATTTTTCACAACATACATCCTCCTTGCTCTCAAGGGAGACGTGGCACAATCTAATTGTTAACTCGATTTGGTTAGGCCGGCATGACATTTCTAGTTCAGTAAAATTTACTTTAGTACAATTGTCATAGAAAAGGATTTTTGAATCAAGGGATGTAAGAAATTCTTTGGGATTGTTACATTGCAACCTGATGCCACTTTTAAAAACGGAAAAAAAAAACACACTTCGGGAGACCACTCTTCCTTCATAGAGTCGAAAAATCAAACTTACGTCTGTGTTGTTCCTCTATCGGAAGCGTCGGCTGTCTGATGCGATCTGGAGTTGCGAGGATGTCGTGTCCACGAAATCCTGGGAAGGACACTAGTGTGCCTAGGCCTTCCCCGTCGTCTACGGCCACCACTCGGGCGCTACACCACCTCCCCAATTCGTCCACCGCTTGAACACGCTTGCCTACAGTAAATTCTCCTGCCATTTTGTCTTAAGTTTAGAGATGCATTATACAGAGAACTTTGCTAAGCCCAAAAAAGTCATGAAATTGGCATGATTACAACATCATGCACGACTCGACGGCGAACGCTTGTGAACGTACCGGGATATGTACGAGTCCGCTGCGTGGGTTGCTTTAAATACGTAGTGTGCGGACCGTGGCGGCATTTTCCTGTCGCAAGCCCTTTCGTATACGGCTTTAATAGCGCATGCATACAGTCCTTGCACATGGTACATGTACGTACAAAGTACCCGTATACAGTATGCGTTGACCGCATGCATCACTTACGACTCACGAGGATTGCTTGCGAATACGACGTCAAAAAGTAGTCCGGTTCCGTGATCAACTTTGAAGTTCTCCGACATACAGACTTACGCATAGAAGTATGACGCAACACGTCATCACGGTCCAGAACATGGGGTCTTGGCGTTTACGGCAAAAATACTGAAGACCTGAAAATTACACACTCACGAAAGGGAAGAGTTTATTTTTGTGCAAAGTACCAACATTGCCATGGATGTGTCTGGTGTAAAGGTTTTGGGGTGAACAATTCACCATTGGTCAAATTCCGAATTGTTCACCCCAAGACCTTTGCACCGGACCCATGGCAATTATGGTACTTTGCACAAAAATACTCCGGACGCGTTACCAGTCAAGATGGCCAACTTACTTGGTCAAAAGTTAAAAGAGGCAGTCGGGAAAAATAGATATAACCCTTTTTCAACCTTATTTTTAGAAACTGTGTGCATGTGGTACAGGTATGCCTTCTCTCATCTCTAAAGGGGAAGAATTTTTGACGCTCCAAATACGGTCGTGGCGTATTTCCAAGATTTTAAAAGCGGCGGTGCGCTAAGGGAAAAATATTTTTGGGTAAATTGTCGAGAGCGACAGGTTCGCTAGTGGAAAATGGCATTTTGTTTTCTACGGAGCGTTGTTTAAAAGTTGGAGGCACTTGGTGGATTTTGCGATTCGCACCGCTTTCAAAGCTGTTTGCGGAGCACCCGCGCTCTTTGAGAGATCAGCCGGCAACCAGCGGGTCGAGATCAAAGTTCTCATAAAAGGGAGTTTGTAAGAAGCGTTGTTCAAAAGTTTTGGAAGGGCTGGAGTCGGCGCGCTGCTTTCAAAGCAGGTGCCGAGCACCCGCGCTCTTTGAGAGATCAGCCGGCAACCAGCGGGTCAAGATCAAAGTTCTCATAAAACGGGATTTGTGAGAAGTGTTGTTCAAAAGTTTTGGAAGCACTTGAGCCGAGCACCCGCGCTCTTTTTGAGATCAACTGGCAACTATAGCAGATAGGGATCAAAGTCCCCATTAAATGGTTTTCTAAGAAGTGTTGTTTCACAATAATTGAAAGCACTTGCTCGAGTTCGCACTACTTTCAAAGCAATTTGCCCGATGTGCCGCGCATTCTAACAGCACCCGCAACACGAGTTTTGAATAGGAGACTCTCTTTTAGATGCAGATATACCTGGTGTTGCAATAAAAGATGCATTCTCTGGCAGACGGGCAAACCTCCAAGATTATGGCTATGGCTATTGTGCCAATGGAAACACCCCTTAAGGTCGGTTCCGTGTGTTATGAGGTACAAACATAATGCACTAGCACCACCATGCTTCAAAAGACCCCACTAACAACTAGCTGACTGTTCGATTTTTTGGTGGAGTTCAGAATTAAGCTGGTGNAGGGACTGACCCGTAATGATATTTTTGGAACAATACCTTCGTTCAAAGAGCAGTTAAAAATATCTGATAAGGGATAACACAGTTCATAGGCAAACTGTTTAATCAACCTCAATAAAATTAAATCGGGGCCTCCGGTTTTATGTACTTTCACCTTTTTCAATTCATGGTATACTTCCTGTGTGGTAATAGTTGGCACTTGTGCCAAGGCTGGTAAATATGCAGGCTGCTTACTAAGATATAGGCAAGAGATACCACAAGCTACTGACAAAAAAAATATTCATTAATATGCGAGGCTGTCTCCATTGCAGTATACATGTATATAGCAGCCTCGTAGGCTAGATAAGTTTTCTGTTTGTCATACACACCAGACATTTTCTTGATTTGTTTATGCCAGTCCCGGGAATTACTGTTTTTGAGGTGGTCTACACTTCCTTTATAAAACTTATATGTAACCCTAACCCTGCTGAATCCAACAGGTTCTAACCATTTCTCACTGCCGATGGAGCCGGTTGGATTCAGTAGTTACAGGTTGTACATTTTTATGTTGGATCCAGTTGGATTCAGCAGGCAACTGAATGTGTACACAATTGGATCTGGTGGGATTCAGCAGGCAATTGAAAGTGAACACGGTTGGATCTGGTGGCCTTCAGCATGCAACTTAATGGGAACATGCATGCAGTTGGACCCTGTTGGATTCCCTTTTGTGCCTTGTTTTAGTTACTACATGTAGTATGCCGGGGATTATCAATAATCAAACATAAACAGCTGCTAGCTAGTCATTAACCCCTTCTCGACGACGGGAATTTCTTTCCGAAAGCCGACTCCAAGAATTCCAGCCTCGCTTGGCAACGAATGCCACCTGCCAAACTGCAAATTCTCGGTTTGTGGCTCAGCGTGAATTACACGGTGAAAAGGCTGATTGTTCAGTGGCATGCGGCTCTACTCAAGCTTCCACATTCCCGTACCCTCTTTTCAAAGTGGGAACTATTGTGAAGCTGGTGATTATGATGCAAATTCAGCCTTTTCATTTCTGGGCTACATACAAAAACAAATTACCATATACACAAGAGCCAGGGTCTGCCTTCTTTCACCGTGTTTGCTCGAGCGGGGGCCGAGAATAATAGCTTGAAAGCGGGCTGAGGATCTCAATTTTTACGGCATGAAGGGGTTAATTACAAGAGACCAGTGAATAAACAAAAGTTGCAGTTTGGCTTGAGGGGGGAGGAGAGAGAGGTTTTTATGCAAGAAATGATGGGTTCTGCAACAAAGAGAAAAGAAAAGGAGCCAGACTTTCCACCAGCAAAGAAGAAACTGAAAGGTAGCAAGACAGGAAAGGGGCCGTTTCCCAAAGAAAAAGGCCCTGCCTTCCTAGCAAGAAGGAGCAAAGAACAGAAAACTCAGGAGGGGACAACCGCCACCGAACATGACACAAATGCAGCAGGGCCGTCCACAAATGCAGCAGGGCCGTCCACATCGAGACCGAGAGCAAGACAGCCTCGAGAGAAGAAGGTCTACACCCTTGACTCAGATAATGACCCGACCCCCCTCATCACAGACCAAACCCAGAGGGCCAAACTTCTCTCACAAGAGGACACTTTTGGAATATTTCCTGCTGTTTTTCCCTGTAGTCCTCTTCTCGCAGATCGCTGCATGGACAAACACCTCTCTGCAAAAGGCAGGGAAAACGGCCCTGACGACGGCTGGAGAGATCAAGGCCTGGCTGGGGATCCACCTTGTGATGGGCTTGGTAAAGGTTCCCCGTTATCAAGATTATTGGTCCCCTCACCCTGGATACTTCAATAGGATCATCTCCACCACCATGACACGTAACCGATTTAAACCCATCAGCAAATACCTCACCTGCTCTGACCCTGCAACCAACCCAGAAAGCTACCCCAACGAAAAACCAGACATGTCTCCAGATAAGAAACACCAGCACCATCACATGCGCCATCATCCCCTGTACCCCCTCCAGCCAATTTTGGATGCTGTTCTGGCAGCCTGTCGCACCAAGTTCAACCTGGGGAAACGTCTATTCATCATTGAGGCTATGGTGAAATATTCCGAGTTCAAAGCAATGGTGAAGAAGTTCTTCATGCCACTAAAACCAACCAGAAAAGGTTTCAAGTTGTAGCCGTGGCAGATGCCTCATCGGGTTATTTGTCCAACTTTATCACTCATCCTCATTCCTCCTGCGAATCAGCCAAGATGATAGACATTATCACCATAGTATCCCAGCCACATCTTCATAACTTCCATCACATCTACACCGATCGCCTCTACACATCCATGCCCATTGCCAGACACCTTCTTGCCAGTGACACTTATCTGACAGGAGCTATCAAGTCCTCAAGTGTCGGCCTGCCAGAAGATTTCTCAGAGAAAATCAAAACTCTAGGAAAGATACCAAGGGGGGTATTTTATTCCCGTCAAAATGGCCAACTCACAGCTACCATATGGAAAGACTCCAAGATCCCTTACCTGCTGAGCACTGCACATCAAGGCTATCGACACAAACGCAGAGCCACACTGACAAGAAAGGTGGTGGATGAGAGTGGACCACGGACCAGGAGTGGACCAGGAGTACCACGATCACGGCTCCCAAACAGGCCATTGATGACACGAAGCATATGGGAGGGGTTGAACAAAGCAAGAGCCTACTACACCTGCTCGAAAGTCACAGCTGTGGTGGAAAAAGCTCCTCTACTTCCTCATTGATGTAGCCCAAGTCAACTCCTGGATCTGCCTCACCCACCACCACCCTCATATCCACAGTACCATCACTGACACAACCAGCAGCATAGACGAGCTGGAGGAGGCAGAAGGCATTCACTCTTCATCAATGACACACTCAAAATTCATCATGGAAATACTGGTAGCAACTGGTCTCATCAGCAGCAATGCCAAACAATCCATCCCTCCCTAGTCAACCAGCAGAGGTCTGCCTTCAGGAAGCACCCTAAGCCACAGATGAGAGCGAATGGAGGTGAAGCATGCTCGGCAGTGCAAATGGTGCAGACAGACTGGCAGGAAGAATGATGCAGGCAACACGCCTTCCACACGCTTTGGATGCCGCAGCTGTTATGTCTTCAGGAAATTCCATAGTCACTGGCCACCACAGTCACAGAAATTGCAACACATACCAAGTAAACAGAAAAAAAAGAGCTAAGAAAAAAGAAAACAAAGAAAATGAAAAAGAGAAATAACAGCAAACAGAGATAAAGAGGGTTAGGGATAGAGAAAAAGAAAAGACAAACAAAACCAAGAAAAGAAAAGGAAAAGATAAAGTAAAACAGAGAACCCCAAAAAAGATATAGTATAGAAATATTAAAAGACAGATGTGAGACAGTGGATTTCTGTTAGACTTAGTAAACAGCTAAAGTCCTACCAAGTTGGACTCTGTTGTATTCAGCAGATAACTAATAACATGGGCAGTCACATCTGTTTAGATTCAGCAGGCAACTGCACTGTGTGACACGGTTGGACTCTGTTGGATCCTATTGGATTAAGCAGTTAAGTCTCTTGTTCTCTTGTAAGGACCCTGTTAGATTGAGCAGTAAACTAAAATAAGTCACCGTTGGACTCGATTTGATTTAGCCGCAAAGGCCTGGGGAACCCCAAGGGAGTTTTAATTACAAGGTAGTATCAAACTTATTGAAGGAGCACTGTATGTTTTTACTGTTTATACTGCGCATGGATACGCCATTCCCTGCTCATTTTGCTGAGCCTGCTGTGTCTCTGTCTCTTCCATGGCTGCCGCTTCATGGACAGAAGCCGGACAGCTTTCCGTCCAGCTTTTCTTCATATTTTTTCCTGTTAAGAGGCTTCAGGCCTGGGCCTGCAGACCATTCTTTTAGTACCTAGGACCCATGGTATCCGAGTGAGTGGGATTTTATAAAGTTAGGGTATCTTTGTGCCGGTAATTTATGATTTGTGTTCTCGATTATTTGAAATCTTCAGTTATGTACAAAGGGCCTGTGTGTCTTGTATGATCACATGGTCTATTAATTTGCATAACCTACTGTGAGAGTGAAATCACTCGCTGTTGTAGCTTTAAATGGTGCATTTGGAGTGTAACTTGTGTGTCGTAGATATGCACATTTCACCCAAAACTATGAATTAGAATGGTTAAATGAACAGTGATCATTTATTTTTCACATAAATTTGTGTGCCATGTAATTATGTAAGATGTGTGATTTGTATTTATAGGTTTTTTCTGTAGATTGATAGTAGGAAAAATTATGTTAGTGATCAAAGCTGAGTCATCCAATCTATCCCTTACCGGGAGTTCATTCTCCACCCTGCCACTACAGAAACATTTGAGAAGTTCAGTGAACTTGATAATTTCTCTCATTATCTAAATTTACCTACACCTAACAAAAGTTTGTTAGAAAACTATTTCTAATTTTTGGGCAGGTTTAGAAGCGTTCGTTTTGCACTTGAGGAAACTTGAGCCAAAATAAAAATTTCATTGAAAAGTTGTAGTGGTTGAGTAAACTCAGGAGTTTTCAATTAGATTAGTGGGAGTTTGATGAAATTTCACTTACTTTGAAATTTGAGGTAAAAATGTTGCTATGGCAAGGCACTGGAAATAAAAAAATCAAACTGCACCAAAGTTACAGGGCGCGCAGTTTAATAGGGGGCTTCAACAGTAAATGAAGGATGTTGCTGTGACTTCAGTAAAAGCTGAAGGGATGCAGTGGTTTTGTTTTTTGTTTTTATTGTAGGAGGAAGTCAGTAAGAGAAGATGATGGAGCAAGGAGTGGCCAATGAGTGGGCAGCATCAGTAGAGAGTACAGAACCTGAGTAAGTACCTTCCCAGCACCAGGCCATTCAATGACAAGCGGGATTGAGAAAGTGAACTTTATTCCTGCAAGTTTACTCATTTTCCCCTGTGCTATTACATGTGTCTTAATGTCAACCTTCCCAGATCCTTCAAAGTCCACCAGGAGATTTATGGAAGATTTATGGAAGATAGAGCCCAGCCCAGCCTTTTTTAATTCAGATGGGACTTGATGTGTCTATAGAATTTTGGAGAATTAATGTATCATTCTGGGTAGTTTTTTTAGGATTTGGAAAGGTTTTCAAGAACCACCGTCTTTCTATCCTATCCTTACGTCTTGCTGCTTAAATAATCATTGCTTTGTCTGCACTTTGTCAGCTCTGACAAGTTTGGCCTCACAGAAAAAGATGAAGATGACTCTGATGTTAGCCGTAGCAAAGACAGTGAAGGTAAGTACATATACTTGTCCAAAGACTGTGCATAAATAGACCCTAGGTATCAGAAACAAAATGAACAATTCTGTTTTCAAAACCTTTGTACTGTGACTTTCTTTTTCCGACAAATTCAACAATTCAATGCAGATTTCCACTGAGGAAAAAATTAATTTTTTTAATTTTTTTATGATGAAGTCACCACTCTGTTTTCACTGCTGAAGTTAACACCTAGAGGCCGTGATGACATCCGTATTTTATCTCCTTTTGTTCTTCTCAAGAAGCGGGTTCAAAAGAGACTCAGGACCCAAGTGACAGCCACTCTGACAGTGATGAGGAGCAAGAACAGTGGATGGAGAAAACAGCAGGTAGACAAGCTGTCACTTGTCGGTCATATTTGCCATCTGTGAAGAAATCATTTTTTGCAGGTAGATTTGGCCCTGGTACTGCCTTATGTCTCCACCCTAAAATAGCCTGGTTACATTGGACCACCTCACAGCCTGCTGCCGAATTAAGCTGTCCAATACAGGATTTTTTTTACAAATTTTGTATGCATGACTTTCCGTCTCAATACAAATATTGAAGTTTTATCTCAATCTGTCATATGGTTTGGCAGTCACTTGGAAGTTGGGAATGGCAGCGGAAAAAGCATACATTCTTGGCTGACCTCTCTCTAAAAAAGGGTGCTGTGTGAGAAAGGTATGTTGGATTTTCACAAAAATGGTATCAGAATGACCAAAAATAGTTATTGAAATACTCCAGAAGGCTTCTGGAAAATACGCACCCTTAATAATATTGGAAAATATGTTAAAGGGGGTAGATTCCCTCTCCCCTCCCCCAGCTCTTTAGGATAAAATTCAGAGGTTCTTCAAGAAATTTCCACTCACACAGCCAGAGTTTTCACAATTTGTTAAGTTGAGAAAGCAGTCACAGGGTACCTCCTGTTTGTACATGTGTCAACTGGCTGAAGATGGACCTTTTCCGAACCAGCCGGATTAGGCTGACGGAATTACATAAGTCCGTAGCAAATGACTGAAGCCACTCACTTGTGGCTTTAATCATCTAACCTCAGCCACACCTTTTGGACGTCGCCTTAAAACTCATAACTCTGCTTGGGACATTCTCAAACAAAAGTACATTTATTACAATGCATACAGACATAACTGCTCCCTTTTTGTTACTGTATTTTTACCAGGTGTTAAAGGTGATAGCAGCGTGGTTGGTCCCCTGCCTGTATGCTCATTCTTCTGGCATCTCAGCCCTGATAGAGTAAGGCGATAGCAGCATGGTTGGTTCCATGGTTGGTCCCCTGCCTGGTCCCCTGCCTGTTGGCTCATCTTCTGGCATCACGTACTGCCCCAGTAGAGTAAGCCATCTCTTGTTTTACGACAATAGTAGTCATGATTTTGGTCATCGCAACAATTTATTTAAAGGTACAGTCCAACATTTGTCTTTTGTGGATTATTTTCCTATGAAACAACAAAATTACTCAAAATCTAAAGAAGGGAACACAAGAACGAACTTGATGAAGATGAAGTTTCAGCTTAATGGTGAATGCTCCATATTCTGAAAAAACTATTCCAGGACTTAGATTTCAGATCAAAAGTTACTGAGTTGTGTTTTAAATTTTGCCTGAATTCAGCATCTGGGAAACATTCTCACATTCAGTCGAATGCAGCTACACCTTGTCACCCCCTGAACCGATGAATTATAGACTCTGCTAGCATCTGTGCATTGGACAGTGCTTGCACACATTTCTAATAGTGACTTTCCAAAAATTTGAGAAGGCATCTGCTTGAAATCATTGTTTCTTCATGATGACCGCTTGCCAGAAAGAACAGTTTCTCACAGAATTTAGTCCTCTATCTGAACCAAGTATGCTTTTCGACAACAATTTTGGATACCTTTTGGATACCTGTTAACTCATTTTTCCTTGTACAGGTTTCCCCCAGTCATTGAAAATCCTGGGAAAAAGTTGTCCGGGAAAGTCATGGAAAACTCACAAAAAAATTGGTCTGAGGAAAAGATCGTTGCAGGCCTGGCTGAAATACTCGGGCATCAATGAAGGTCACCTGTCAACTTAGAGTAGTGCCTAAAGATTACTTCGTGCGGCTATAAACGACCGTTAAATGAAATGATGAATTTTTGAAGGATTTTGAAAACGGAAAAAATGATAGTCATGCCGGCCCAAAATGCCCCGGCCTGAAGTGGTTAATAGTAAAACTCATGAAATGAAGCGTCCAATCATAGACGTAAAATACCTTTAGACCAACAGCAGGGGTATAATATAAGGAAAGTGTCCATTTTTGATAATTGCCCATTATTACAAGCCATTAGTAGAAGCCAAGGTGCACATTATGTGAAATTCAGATAAATTCCTGACACCCCTGTCAGTGGTTGTTTAGTGAATATTTTGAAAAGCAAACTTAACGTATTTTCTCAAGTTTTATCTGATAGAGCACTGAGAACTGTGTTTCCAAAACATGTCAAAAATAAAGTCAAAAAATTAAAATCACATACATTATGGAGATTTGTTCAGGCTTTTGAAGGCAAGCAATGAATATGGACAAAAGGTTAAGTGCTCAGACCTCTTATTTAAAAAACAATTTACTTTAATTGTGACAAATGTTGAACCAAACCACAAAAAGGGACCATGCTGTCACTTAACAGTATTTTCAGTCACCATCCAAAAGTTGCGATTTGTATCCAGCTCAACAGACTTGTGCACACTGTTGTAATATTTCTGCCCACACTTTCGGGATCAATCGTTGATTTCTGTAGGAGCTGTTGGTCCATAGATAGTTTAGGTTTGTGGTCTTCCCTGATTGACATTGCAGTGTTACTGTAAGACAGCGCCCTCACTTGGGTGAAAAGGGAAAAAGGAAAGACAATTTTAAGTGTTCCAAATATCACTTTTTGAAAGGGTGTCTGGAAAAATATTTTTAACGGAGTACAAATCACAAATGCTTTCACAAGTAATGGATCAGCAGTGTCAAAGGAATACTCATGTCATACAAGTAGTTCATTTCTGACATGAAAATGGATTGAAAAGCATTAGACACTAACAGTTCTCTTTAGGAAATAAAGGGTGTAAAAACAAGGAGCGTACAAGGATACTACAATTTTTAAAGAAATGTCTCAATTTCTGCAACAACTTTCTTCCCCAGATCTCCTCACATGAAAGCTATAGGTATGCCCCAGGAGAAGCAGACCATGATGCTGATGAGAAGAGCACCCTCGCCTCTTTCAACCTGGAGAGAAGATGGAGGACAAGATCCTATGAGACTTCACAGAGATGATTCCTGAGAATGTCAGGGAGAGGAAGGAACTCAGATAGATGCCAGTCCTCGTCTCCATCACTGAGAAGGAACAGTTTCCAAGATTGCATGAGGCATCCTCATCAGAATCTTAGGCATCGATTCACAAAAAGGCAAGAAAACTGACGACTCAATCTTCTCCGAGATGCAGTTCCTTGCTTCCACCTTAGTGATGGAGCACGTCTATCTGCATTTGTACACTACTCAAAGGATCATACCTAGTAATGAATATTTTAAACAAATGGTATTTATATCGTAAAAATGAGCGTCATTTAATTCGGGTATTTTATGGCATCAAAACAAGAAACTTCCGCTACAGTATACTGAAGTCTCACGATACCGAAAAAAAAATTTGGTCAGCACCTTGTCCAGGTCCTTTACGGCCCTGAAAATGATTGAAAAATTGAGTCTTAACCAAGTAATGTGAGGGCGCTGTTTACAAGTTAAAATGATATCACGGTAATGTGAGGGCACTGTTAATGAGTTCGAATGAAATCACGGTAATATGAAAATGCTGTTTAAGAGTTAGAATGATATCGCGGTAATGTGAGGGTGCTGTTTATAAATTAGAATATCGCGGTAAAGTGAGGGCGCTATTTATGGGTTGAAATGATATCACGGTAATGTGAGGGCACTGTTTATGACTATATTTTAGTAATGTGAGGGCACTGTTTGTGACTCTGAATTACAGAAATGAACACTTTGAACATGTGTGTATCTCAGCATGAACAAATAACATGTAACTGTTGAGACCCTTTTATTCAGAAAAATAATGCAGTATCTGACATGTATCTGTTTGCAAATCCGCCCCCAAATCACCTTTTTATAATTATCTGTAAAAATGATGATACAACAAAATTGAATTTGTGGTCGTCAGGACATTTGAAAAAAATAACTTCACGGTTTTCCAAAACCTCAACACAAAATGGTAAGAGGTCCAATATTTCAGTCACTTTTTCTCAAAATGTCCTAAAGTGATACACATGCGTGCACATCATTATACCACAATAGGGTTGTGTAGTACTGGCCAGTCTCATTCATGTCATTGTCCAATGCTTTTTTACCCCTCCAGCTAATAAGCCATTTGTGAGTTCAATTTGAATAAAATCTGGTGCACTGAGTTATCTGACTGCACATAAACGTAACAATTTGAATTCCCCAGTCTGAAGACTCTGTTGCTATACCTCGTGATTCGGGGCAAGCTTTCACATAGCGACCACCATCTCTGGAATGGACTGGTTCCTTTATGCCCTTCTTATCCATTGAGAACAGTGTATTGCTGCAAGGTGTCTCTTACATGTACGTAACTAAGCGAAACTTGCCCCAAATCACGAGGTATAGCAGCAATGGTTTTAGTAAGAATTCAAGTTATGTTCACAAGAATTTAAAGAACTCAGTGTACCAGATTTGGGTCAAAGTTAACTTACAAAAGGCTGATTGGGCTCTGAGACGCGACTAACCAATTGCATAGTCTCACATTCTATGGTGCTCAACCAAGCATGAACATGAGCTTCTTTGTACAATAAGTAAAATCAGTGAGGTACACACCTAGCTGAAATTTTCAGACATTTGTCTGAAAATTTCTGTCTGTCTGTCTTTTGAGTAGTGTATATTGGTATACAGTACAGTGCTGTTATAATGAACAGGGCAGGGTCCATACACAATGCTTGGTGTAGCATAGCTCCCAAACTATTGTGATTTCATTGGTACTGTTCCAATTGTTGCATTTTCAGAGGCTTAAAAATCGAAATGTTCCAATTTCCATAAAAAAGGGGGGAAAAGTCCTGGCAAAAGAGAGCGCTATTTGCCATAACAGAGAGGGTGCCATTTCCTACGTTGAAATGTCATTTGTTACACATACATATGTGTGTGTGTTCTTGTTCGTGTAAAACAGATTCTCTTGTGCGGCTGCTTGTATTGCTACGGGCTGATTATATGGCCGTTCCAGTTTCGGAGTTTATTGACATCTTAACTTTTGAGTCACTGTCATCAGTCCTAAATTTTTTTCTTTAATTGTGATGCTCGGTAAAAGTGCGCAGAAAATTTGGGAGCCAAGGGGTATGTCCCATATACCCAGTTGTTCAGTATAGTGACGTTGTACTGTACTCACATTCAAATTGTTCATGAATAAGAGGTACTCTGTAAATTGAACTGACAATTGGTCAGTTTGCTTTTGAAGAAAACCTATTTTTCACCTTTAATTTGTTTCTTTTCATCGTAACGCATTGACTCATATTAATGCACATTTAAAACATTCGTGTGTACATTTAAGTTATCGAGATGTTATACATGTACTTCAAAATTTGCAAATAATTAGCATTTGGAAAGACTCCAGACACTTATGAACTACTTTTTTGAGGACTAAAAGCTTGTAACTATTGTATACTTTTAAAAATTGAATGATGCTCCCGTTCAGGCAGCCAAAATACAAGGACTGTTCAGTCAACCCAGTGGCTCTTCTGAACCTCACTTTTAAAAAGTTCCTCTCCCAAACAGAGATTTTAACAAATGGGAAGAACCACTGACATAGGGCTGGATAGCTCAGTTGGTAGAGCACTGGTACAGTGTTCCTGAGGTTGCTGATTTAAAATCCCACACCTTTTTTTTGTTCATCTTTATAAGTTTTTCCTTAGACACAATTCCTTGAGCTTTTTATATTTTCCAAGTTGTACATCCACATTGCCAGAGCATAAGAAAAAAGTATTTCTCTTGAAATTATCACAAAACTGCAAGTCGCAAATTGTTGGCTCAGCGCTGACAGGTCCTTACTGCAAATATGTAATTTTTGAAAAAACTCTTAAGGGCCTTACTCTGTTCATGAAAGAAATATTTGATTTAAACAGTTTTCTATTCTTTAGTCATAAAACTAGTTTTTTTGCAGCCTACATATTTAAATTTGTACCAATTCTAATGTGTAATTAATGTCTAAAACAGCATTTTTCACTAAACACCTTTTAGTAAATTCTAAGGACCTTTTAGCACTGACATGAAATTTGTTTCCTTTGAAAATACTACCTTGCAAAAATGCTTTTGTGTGTATGTAAACTATCCCCATCTATTGCTATAACCAGTTAATTTCTATTTTCAAGTGAAATAAATGTTCATTTATTTAACCTAGCAGAACAACTTGTTCGTACATGTATATCTATTTGTAAAACTGTGTACTTTCCACTTCACCCTTCTCCTAATCTGGACCATTTTAAACTGCCATAGTTTAAGGTACATCTGTTTACATCTTTAGGTTTTACATTACAGCCTCGTGCTACACGGAAGCCCTACTAGTCTTCCAAGTTCCTTTAGTTCCCTCTTGGAGCATTTTAGTCTCAATTTTATAAGGGCTACAATTACCCAATGGCAATATGGATCATGAAGAAGCAATGTCCTTCAACCCCATGGTATCCTCAGAGCTACAATACTGATTGTCCCAAACCCTCAGCCATTGACTCTAGCCTATTCCTATCAGCTCTCAGACTTCCAGCCCCTAGGACTTCCACCCTTGCCCATCTCCAGTACATAGTCTGGCTGAAAAATATTCTAAGTCCAAATAACGAAAGGTTTAACATTTAGAAACGAGCACATTTTTTCAA